AACAAAACTAAGCCAGTTCACATATGCAGAGACCTACATGCAACAACTCCTGAATATACATACATTTAAGTGTACATATAATATTTATCAAAATGCAGGACAATGAAGTGGCAATAATAAATTTTAAAAGATTGAAGATGTTTACAGTATATCACCTGACAGCAGTAGAATTGAGCCACATAATAACAAAATAAAATTAGCATAAAAACTAAGCAAAGTAATACTAAGTAACTCATAAATCATAGAAAGTAGAAAATATTTTGGAGTGAAAAGTTACATATATTCTGATATATGGATATGTATTCACATGTATATCAATCATATATCATATATCATATAGTATTAAAATTTATAGGATACAACTAAATTGTGGAACATACCACATTTCCTTAAAGATAAAGGGAGAATTTGGTGGCTTAAATTTATGTTTTAAAAAAAGAAGAAAGACTTTTTAAAAAGACAGTTATCTATCTCAGAAAGTGATTAAGAATGGTGAATTAAAACCAAAGTTGGAAAAAAAGGGCAAAATTTAAAATAAAGACCAGAAATCAGTTGAATAGAAAATTTGTGTGAAATAGAAAATGTCCACAAACTCTTAAGTTGGCTTTTTGAATAATCTAAAAAAGGATAGAAAACTAGGAAGACTGATACAAGAAAAAATTCAAAGGGTAGACAAATGAGCAATAAGGGAATAAGAAAAAAGAGAAATTGTTAAAAAACACAACATAACTGTTAAAGGACAAGTAGTAAGAATGAGTAATAGGCTATCTAGCAAAGAAATTTTATCTTTGATTAAAGTAATTCCACACAAAGAACTCTTCCAGTCCTGATGGCTTCAGTTGTGAATACTTCTCATTATTTGGGAAAGACATTAATAACCATATCTTTTAGAAAATATAATAAGAGGGAACACTTTCCAATTCAATTTTGGAGACAAGCATAATTCTGATATCAATATCTGGCAATAATATTATAAAAAAGGAAATTACACTTCTTTCATGAACATATATAGCTTAAGAAAATACTAACCAGTTTAATTCAAGAATGTTAAAAAAATAATACATTATGGATAAAAGAAGTTTATTCCAGAAAAGAAAGGTTAGTGTAGTTTTTAATAGAAGGAGAAAAATCAAAGATAGAGTATAATACTACCCAACATCAAGACTTATAATAAAGCTACAGTAATCAAGAGTGTGTGTATTGGTGAAAGACAGACAAATAGATCAATGGAACAGAATAGAGCCCAGAAATATATCAACATAAATAGAATCAACTGAAATTGGGCAAAAATTATATTTTTTTAGCAAATGGTGCTGGAACAACTGGATATCCACATGCAAAAAAATGAATGTAAACAAATCTTATGATTAACAAAACGAACACAAAATTTGACTCAAAACAGATCAACGACCTAAATGTAAAACACAAAACTAAAAACTCCTGCAAGATAACATAGGAGAAAACCTAGATGACCTTGAGTGTGGTGATGACTTTTTAGTTACAGTATTAAAGGCACAATCCATGAAGGTAATAATTGATAAATTGGACCTTATTAAAATTAGAAACTTCTATGAAAGACAGTGTCAAGAGAAGAAGACAAGCCACAGACTGGGAGAAAATATTTACAAAAGACACATCTCATAAAGGCCTGTTACTGAAATATATAAAGGACTCAAAACTCGTGGAGCAACAGAACTCTCATTTATTGCCAGTGGGAATGCAAAAATGGTGTAGGTATTTCGGAGCACAGTCTGGTGGTTTCTTAGAAAACTAAACATACTCTTACCATTCAATCCAGCAATTGCACTCCTTGGTACTTACCCAACAGAGTTGAGACTTACAACACACAAAAACATGCACAGAGATGTTAATGCAACTTTATTCATAACTGCCAAAAAGTGGAATAACCAAGATGTCTTTCAGTAGGCAAATGTATAAATAAACTGATATGTATACACTATGGAATATTATTCAGTGCAAAAAGGAAATGAGTTATCAAGCCATGAAAAGACACAGGGGATCCTTAGATGCATATTACTAAGTTTAAGAAGCCAGTCTAAAAAAGTTACACACTGTATGATTCCAAGTATATGACATTCTGGAAAAAACAAAACTATGGAGACAGTAAAACGATCAGCAGTTGCCAGTGGTTAGGGTGGAGGGGAGATGAACAGGTGGAGCACAGAGGACTTTTAGGGAGGTGAAAATACTCTGTAGGAGACCTTGATGAAGGATACATGTCATGCACATTTTTCCAAACTCATAGAATGCACAACACCAGGAGTGAATTGTAAACTATGGACTTTTCAATAAATTTGCTCCAGATTGGAAGACTATGTTAATGAAAAAAATTTACATCTTGATTACTATATCTTATAGTAACAGCCAATTTCAAAAGGATTATAGATCTGAAGGTGAAATAAACATAAATATCTAAAAACATAATAAATCTTACAATAGAAACTCTAGAGTAATATCTTCATGCCTTTGGAATACAGTAAACTTCCTAAACAGGATGCAAGACGTCGTAATGATAGAGAAAGAAATAAAAACGAAAATTATCTCAAAATTAAGAACTGCTGTTCACTAAAGACATCATAAGGAGGATAAATTTAAGCTTTGTAGTGGAAGATTTTTACTATACTTAATATTTACATAGAAGATATTTATAATAGGAGTAGAAAATATTTTATCTAGTATATTAAAGACCTCTTATGAATCAAACAAAATAGGAGAGCTAATACAATAAAAATATGAGCAAAATATTTGAACTTGACCATTACAAAATATTGTGGCTAAATGAGCAGTTTGTTTTAAAAACAAAAAGGAGCCAAACACTATTGTTCATCAGGAAACTGTCAACCAAAGCCACAATAAGGGACCAACACACTCACCAGAATGGCAGAATAGGTAATACTGACAGCCAAGTGTTGACAACTATGATGAGCAACTGGCATTCTCATGCACTTTTGGTTGGTTTATCTACTATCCATGGTATTATTTACTAAAGCTGACTTATGCACACTCCATGGCTTAACAATTCTTCTCAGAAGTATATCCCAAATGATATCCATTATTCACAAAAGACTAAAAGCATAAGGATGTTCAGAGCAGCACAATTTGCAGTAGTCAAAATGTGGCACAATCCAAATGGCCATCAAAAGTAGGATGAATTCTTTAATATATGGCATGGATGCTCTGTAGCAAGGATCTGCCAACTACAACCCAAGGCAAATTCAGAGCTAAAAATGTGTTTACACTTCAAAATGATCAAGAGAATAAAAATAATGAAAAAATCAAAATGATTAGACAGAAAACATTGTTTGATACATGAAAATTATGTACTATTCAAATTCCCAGCCTCATTTTTATGGAAACACAGCCATGCTCAATTGTTTATGTATCACCTAACATGTCTGTGGCTGGCTGTTTTGCACTGCAAATACAGAGTAGGTAGGGTAGTTGCAACTGAGATTATATGACTAACAAAGTCTATGTTATTTACTGTTTGTAAAACTTGTATGGAAACTTTTCTGCCTTCCATGTTCTTTTGCTGCATGCCATGACATGGAGGCATCATACAAACATAATGTGGAACAAAAGAAACAAGATGCAAAGGATACTTGTGAATTGCATGATTTAATTTACATACAAGTTTTTTAATGGGAAAAAGTAACCTATGCGACACAAGTCAAAACAGTTATTTCCCTTAGCTTGAGAATGTTGGATGGAATGTGAGATGATCAGGGTGAGTAATTTTGTCCTAATCATTTCTGCATCTCCCAATGCTTTAGGTAGGTCTGTAATTCATAATAATTCATTCATTGATGCCCACTAATTACATCATGAACAATAGGAAGGGAGTGAGGATAATAAGAAAATATCATGAGTGAGGGACTATAAAAAAGAAAGCCCTAAAAAAGAAAAAAAACTAAGTGAAGAAATAAAGGATCTTATTTACTCACCCAAAGTAATAGTTGTAGGTGGTATTGATACAATTAGTAATACAACAACAGCACGATATATTAAATACCACTTACACTTGTTCTTAACACCTGAAAAAAAATACATTTAGATGAAGAAATAGGTAAAGACTAAATCTGCATTCATAACCATACCTAACAAACTTCTTTAGGCAATTTATTCTGAAGTTTCACAAGGAGATAACACAGAACATACGTATTCTGTTATATGTAAAAAATCACTTTTTTCTTTTGATTGGAATTTCTCAGGACATCCTTAAAGCCAATTCAAATGTTTCCATGGATTTTACTGTCATGGTCTAAGGACTCAAATATGTATGACTCTTTAGGGTAAAATTTCCCCAGGCCCGGAGCCACCCCTAGGACTTCAGTATCCTTTATGGTGAAATATCAGCACATCCTAAACATTCCTTGAATGTTTCTAAGAAGATCTACATTCTAAATGATGAAAAGTTTATTTGAGAGGATAGAAAGCAGAGCATATTGAAAGTTCATAGACTTAAAAGTTCACAGAATCAGTCAAAGGACTTGAGATTGAGATTTTTGCACAAACCAGTGAAGGGAACTTGGGCAAGTAATTTTCTTTACTGGTCCTGTATTTCTTTGTCTGCAAAGTCAATAGAACAGAATAAATCTTCAGTGAGGAATTATTTTTCTTTTACTTAGTGCCCATGTAGGGAAAAAAAATATGGTACATAAGTTTTTTGAAATGAAACATTGTTATTTTATATATCATGAAAAACTCATAAAATTTTATGAAACAAAAAAATTATGGAAGTACTTAAGGTAAACTTTAAACTTATTGAGAGCACTTGTGATTCCTTTCTTTTTCAACTAGTGAAGAACTAGTTATTTCTTTGTTAAGAGAACTTTTTTCCTCAGTGGATTTTTGAAAGAAATGAAATTGAAACTGCATGTAACTTTATACCACTTAGAGTTTATCAGTAATATATTGGGGTTACATCCTTCCATCCATGTATCTCCCTAATCCTATTTTCACTCATATTCTCCCTACCAAATACACGTATTTGTAAGTGAATACAATTTTCATGTATCCATTGTTTTATATTCTAGTGTTTTCAGTGAGCAAATTGCTCTTCCCATGTGTGGTTGACTGTTAAAATCAGCCCTCAATGGATCATGCCTCCATGCGTCCATCACCACTTTGACATGCGATCTTGCTGTTTCTCCTATCAAGAGGTATACTGAGTTTCCTGATGCTTGAGCATGAACTGGCCTTGGGCATTGCTTTGACCATAGAATGTGGTGGAAGTGACACTCTGGGACTTTGAAGCCCTGGTCTAAGAGACCTCATAATTTTTACTTTCAATTTCCTGGAGCCCAGCCACCATCCAAAGAAGTCTCAGAGAGAGAGAGACAATATGGAGGATGAACAGCTGAATTCAATCACTAAGGCTCAAGTCTGTGAGTGATGACATTTTGGATCCCCCATCCCTACCCAAATGCACCAGCCGGCATAACACAGAGAAGGCATGAGCCATCCCCCTGAAACTAGTCCACATTCCTAACCCACAGAACCATGAGCAATACAATGAATACTGTTTTAAGATACTGAACATTGGGGTAGTTGTTCATTTAGAGCAACAGCTAAATTTACACATCACGCAAAAGAATAATTTGACATTACCATTTTATGACTTGCTAATAATCTTTGGCTACATATACTGTTAGAAAAGACAGAACACAACTAATCCTCTTCTGATGGATATTTAGGCTGTTCATCCCCTTTTAAACCAGAACTAGAACAAGTGTAGTTTAAATGTGTCTTATGTGCATATCTAATTACCTTTCAAGAAAAATTTTCAAAAACAAATTGGCATTTGTTGGTTTAATGTTCTTCCAAAAGTATGGTACTAATCTACACTATTGGTACCCATAAGAATTTAAAATGATTCTATAAAGTATCACAAGGAAGAAGAGGGAAAGTGGCAAAAAGAAAATCAGCATTGTTTTGAACCACCACCAAACTGTTATTTCATCTGTCTGAGAAATATGTTTATGGAGTTAAGCCTAAATTTGTATATTTCTGCTATAGTTCTGAAAAGTCTTGTAATTAGCTGTGCATTTTTTCTGACTATCTAGAATTTCAAAGCTTCAAAATAAGCACGAACTAAAGTATCTGCCATGCTTCACCTTTGAACCAGCGCTGCTGTTATTTATTTAGTAAAATCTTTACTAATCACCTATTATGTGCTAGTTTTCATTAATATAACAGCAAGCCAAAAAGACATAATCCATGCTTTCTTGGAACTTGCATTGGGTGGAAAAGACTTACAATAAACTGATAAAAATTAATTAAAAAATTATAAATTGCAACAAGTGCTGGAAAGACAATAAACAGGGCGCTCTGACTGAGCAGGTGGATTGATCAAAAGAATAGTTGGAAGGGCCACTCTGTGAAAATGACATTGAAACCAGGACGTGAAATATGAATAGTGGCCATCTACATGGAATATATAGAGAAAGCATTTCAGGCAGAGAACAGCACGTGGAAGTGCCTTAAGCCAGGAAAGAACTTAAAAGAAAGTGGCAAATTACAGCAAGCTGACTTGGTCAGAGACAGCAGAGGGGAGTAATGACTAGTTGGGAGCAAAATGATGCTAAGATGTTTGAAAGCCTTTGAAAGAACTTGATTTTCTTCTAAGTACAATTGGAAGCCATTGAATTATTTTAGGTGGGTTGTTTGGCATTATCAGACTTTTATTTTTAAAAGTTCTCTACTGGTAGGGAGATTATTTAGGAGTTATTACTCTAGCCAGTCAAATTATGGTGATCTCTTAAACAGGGTAGCAGCAGTGGAGAGACAAGAAAGGAGCACATGGAGGAGATCAGTGCGCCCAGCAGAGTGACTTTAAGGAGCAATGCAGAGGGACGTCGGACTAGTGGAGGCAGACGAGTGAAGGACACACACAGGCTCTCGGGGAACTTTTGCTTTGGGAATGAGGAGCAGACAGAGTGGAGCTATTTAGAATGAGATGAATGGTTCCGGTAAGATTTTTTTTTTAAGATATAACAAAAAATGTTTCTATTCACTTAGTGATGATTGAATGTGAAAGGGATAGATTGCTGACATAGGCAGGAGGGGGAGGGAAGATTAGATTAAAAAGAACAGTTCTTGCATAGGCTAGAAGGGCTGCGGTCTGAAGTACAAATGGGAGGATTGCTCCTACGTAAGGGAAATGACCTGACCTCTGATGTAGCAAAGGTCAAAAAGGAGAAACAAAGCACACATTTGGCTTTTCAGCCTTTGGTGCTGTATGTATTTCAGAACTTGATCCAGGCTCTTTATTTCCAATGACATTTTAAAATCACCTCCCAATATCACCTTATTAATTTATTTAATTCCCTATTTGTATTCTTCAAATATCAGATATCAAGAAAACAAACACTTCTTCTCCCTATTCTACACCATCAGTCCATTCAGTGTGTCATTATGGCATTCTGTCTGTCTAGCCATGAACTGGCATTGTGGACAAACACTGTTAGAAGTGCTACAGGCTCAAAATCTTGATCAAGTATTTATAGCATATAATTTTACTTTCTTACCCTATTTTAGTCTTTATCTCTTTGTCCTTAATCAAACTAAATGTCACTCTAAGTGCCCATTCCATGAGCTCACAGGATCTTAATCTTTTAAATATCACAGGATATTTAAAAAATAAAACTGTTTTTAAGTTATAGTATGTAGATATGTGCATATTCAGCTGCACATGCATGCTTTTTGTTTTGCTGTTATTTTTTCTTATGTTATAGGTCTCCCATCTTTCCATATTCTAATTATTGTGTGTGTGAGGGGGGAGGTGAAGATTATTTACTGTTACATTCAGAGTCATTATTTTTAATATACTTTCCTATTTATTCTTTTAAGTAATTAGGCTCTTTTGCTATGCTTTCCCCCAGAATGACTTTTGAAAGAAAATCCAAGCTGCTTGAAATCAATGACCTCTTCATTTTTTTTTGAAAACTCAAGCTTATGAAAGGGTGAGCTGGAGAATAAGGGAGGGTTTGAGGAAATGTGTCTGAGCCAATAGGAAGGAAGGAGGATACGTGCCCCCTGACGATACGAGAAATGACGATGTGACACAGAAATAGCAGAATGAGAACCAAAGACATAACTGATGTTCAGATATATCCTCTGACAAGTGATCAGTGAAGATTGAAGACCTTGATGTTTTCTCATAAAACCTGGGAAACTTCATATAAACCTGGAAGAAACCTCCCACTCTCAGTACCATCAAATGGCAAAGATTAAATATCCTGTGAGCTCATGGAATGGGTACTTAGAGTGACATTTAGTTTGATTAAGGCACTAATGAATTGGACATTTATTGCACTTCTTCTGAATAGCAGGCACATATTTAAACCTGCTGCATGTTCATTCTCTATTTAATCTGCCCATTTCCTAAGTTCTGCAATCTAGTTTTCTACCCTCAGTATAAACAGCTTTCATTTTATATGTTCCTTCTTTCTCTTCTTTTACTCAATCCTCAATAGCTGTACACTGCACAAATTATCCATAACATAAAATAACGGAAAATGTGGGTCTCTCACTATGAATTTAGTAGTGAAAGATGAACTGCAAAACAGTTGCCCACCCCATGTAATGTGTTCAACAAAGACAAGAAAACAGATAATATCCCAGGGCTGCTCAATAAAAACCTTCTTAATTAAAAATGTAACTAAAATAGTTATGTATTCATCCCTGTTAAAACCTAAACTGTGAGGTTTCCAATTACTTTCTACATAAGAAGTTTCACTGACTCAACTAAGTAATTTCTGTTTCTGACTCTGACTTTTTCCAAGGAGAGATGAGGAAAGACCCAGGGTGAGCAATGAATTTAAAACCAACAAAATATCCTTTTTCTTAGCTCACAACTATAGAAAAAAAAAAAACATAAAATACTGATAAGCAGAAAGAATACAAGAAAATATTAAAAAATGAATTGTTTCACACACTAAGTAAAATACTATCACAATGGTGTTTATAATTTCAAATTATATATTTATATCTACTATATGTAATATATGTATAAATAATATTAAGTAACTTATGTGATATATTTATGTGTTTTGTTATATATAATTTTATACATAAAATATAGACATTCATACTATTGATTGATATGTAAGGAAGAAATTAGCACTGGCTTTATGAATGGCTAGAAAGCATTTTTAAAACTTCTGGTTTAGATATTTTCATGTTACCATCTCACATTTCATCCCATTGTCCCCAAACCCCCTCAATTTAACCTTGCACAATTATTAAATTGTCAAAAAAAGAGGAAAAATATTTGCCTTCTAATATGAACAGTGGCAATAAATATTTGCATACACTGGTAGGTTGAAATGAAATTAACTGGCAAATGTTTAAAACTCACCATAGTTCCTAAAGCATAGATTCTTGCATTTACTGCATTTGAGCTTCATTCCCTCCCTTCTTCACTATATTTTGACTACAAAGAGTGCAGCTGAAATAACTTTGAGTTTCCTGTTAGAGTGGCTGAACTTGCTATTTAGTACATCCAATGCTACCACGCTGTTTTCTAACTTTTTTAGTGCATTTTCCTTCCTTATCCTTAAGGTTGCCAGAGACATCTTCAAGGTTATCAGAGTACCAGCAACTGTTGAGATAAGAATGGACTAGGAAGACGATCTTTCTACTATTAAGCACCTTTAAAATCTAGTTTATCTTGAGTCCACTCACTACCCATACTCTTTTAAAATATTGAATATATTGGCCAAATTTTTCATATCATGTCTGCATTCCGAGCATTGAATGAATATGTGAGTCAAATTTAATGTTTTCTCCAGCATTGATTTTATTAAATCATCAGTAAAAGTGAAGCTCAATCTCAAACATGCTGAGGCTATGGTGAGTCCCTCTGTATTATCCATCAAGATGAATTGAATCTGAATTGTATTCTTCAAATATCAGGTATCAAGAAAACAAATACTTGTTCTCCCTTTTCTACACCATCAGTCCACTCAATATGTCACTACTGCATTCTATTTGTCTAGCCATGAACTGGCATGGTGGACAAAAGATAGCAGTTATAAATACTAACAGGTTCAAAATCTTGATCAAATATTTAGAGTGTATAATTTTATTTTCTGAAGTTTGTTCTAATTTTCATTTATGGAGATATTAACTAAAAACAGGATTTTTCTGTCTTAATGGAAGCACCAACAAAACCTATTTCATGTCTTCAAAGGCTGTTGTTTAACATTGTGCTTTGTAGTTTCAAAGAGTAACCTTCATTCTGAGTAATCGGAAATGTCCTTACCTTGCTTCTTGTCACCAGTCCCTGGATTGCTGTCATTGCTTTTTGGTACCCTTTCATCCTGGGATAATAATTCCATGCCTTGTGTCATATTTTCCCAAGCCTCTCTTCAAAGTTTTAATTAAATGTAAAAATGTTACTGTTGTTTTTATGACACAGCTCCAAACTAGAGTTATGCAACTTTGAAAAAGTAAAAAATTTTAAGTAGTCCTTCTCCAAATGGAGGTAGCAATATGGCCATGATTGAGTCAACCCACAATTTTTTTTTCTGGGTGGGGCATCTGCTGAGGAGAAAGGAAGTTTGTAAAAAGTGAAGAATCACAAGCTCATGCAGCTGTATTTGTTAACAGAGGATCCTCAGCTCAGTAACAGAGCAAAAGCTGTTCAAGTGGTTATTTTCTCCAATTGTCCCAAGAGTGGTACCCAGCTAATGTTCTTCCAGAACCATAGGAGATAAGAATATTGATTAATTAAAGGCAGGCTTTAAAACCTTATGGCTTAATAATCTTGTGTTAAGAAAGACCATCTTAAAGCTGATGAAAACAGAAAAGAAAGCTGGGCTCTAAACTGGCTGCTGAAACCAAAAACAAAACTATTTTCTCTTTCTCAAGCACAAACATTATGTTGGCACTGTGCATGAGCACACACACACACGCGCGCGCTCGCACACACACACAGGAAAACAAGAAAAAGGAGAAGTTAAAAAAAAGTCATCGATATTCAAGGTAGTAATGCTATGTTAGGAATGAAGGAACTCAGCTCGGTGTTGTGGGGAAGTCAGATAGGGTGAGACGAGAAACCAAAGTCAAGAAAGCAAAGTAAGTTTAATGCACTCTGCAGAGAGTAGCAGAGCAGGCCTGCCTAAGGTGAGACAGGCCGGGATACTCATTCTGGGGCTTCTTCTGTGTGGGGTTGGGCAGGCCAGAGAAGTCCTTAACTGGCAGCTCTTAGCTCTCTAGGCTTGTTCTGATTGGTAAAATGAGGACAGGGGCTCTGCTGTGCCTGTGCTTCTAATGTTTCTTATCTGGGGAGATCCTGGACATTTCCTGGGTCATTTTTGGACCCTGTGCCTTCATCAGACCAACTTTCTGAGTCATTTCTGGCTCTTTGGTTCTATCTGATCAACTCCCTGAGTCATTTTTGGGGGGCCCCCTCTCCTTTTCATCCCGCTAATTTCTGTCTTTCTGCCTAACATTCCCCCCTCAAGCAGTTGGGACCCAAGTCATTGGGATGAGGGACGATGACCACTCTGGCTGCTCCCTGCTAGTGAGGGACAGTGTGGTCATTTGGGTCCCTCTGCTTGCTGACTGTCAGGATGGTGGAGATTTGTGAGACAGGGACCATGGGTCTAGTCAGAGAAGGGTGAGGGCCTCCGGAAAAAGCAAGGCAGGATATTTACAGTCGGAGCAATGTAACTACATGCAAGGAAACCCCCCTACCAAAACTCTGTGTTAAATATTAAGCTCTAGTCATTCTTCAGTGAGATCAGTTAATATTCCCCAGATAAAGAAGAGTAGCACATGTTTTTATTATGCTAATCATTTATAATCATGTGTAAGATTCACTTTAGTATGTTAAAAGGCCCAGGCCTATGTGCTGTCTTTCCTCCTTTAGACCTGATGAGGTGATTTGCAAACTGGGCAACTATTTTAGCAAGTTAAGCCCAGGCATAAACAACATAGTAAAAGGCAAGAAGGAGAAACCTTAAAGATAAGATTATATTTTAATACCAAAAAAGTTAAGAAGTTAGAAATTCTTAACTTACTGTTTAGCAAACAATACCTCAGCCCACCTTGAGGGCCGGGAAGGTGGCCTTGTTTGATATGCTCCCAGACCAAGATGCTGGTATCTCAAGGAGAAATCATCAGAGCAGAAAGTTGCTTCTGTTAATTCTAAACATTCAAGGACCACTTAACAAATCTATACCCATTAGCCTTTTTTCATGTTCTCAAAAATCCTCAGCTGTCTATAAAACCCCCTAGACAACACACCACCCCCAGACTCTCTTGGCCCCTCCTGGCGTGAGCCGGGAGCTCTGTCCTTTCACTGTATCTCTAAATAAAAGCCTATACCTTGCTCTCCTACCTTGAGTGTTTGAGAAGCTCATTCTTAGGCTTTGTGAACAAGAACCCCAACATCATTAGGACAGTAGGGGTGCCCATCTAGGGGTCCCAGGGAGATGGTTGGCAAGGGTTTGAATTCTCATGACAACAGGGCCTTGGCCTTGATGGATTTTAGTCTGTAAGAAACAAGTTTAGTTAAAGAGATTTAGTAAGCATGGTCCAAACAGTAGGGCTGGGAGGAGCATCAGCAGGGGTCCAGATCTGGGACCAGTTGCCCCTGGATTCTGACAGTTGCTGCAGGATTCTGGAGGCACTGTCAGGAAGCTTTTGGACAGTGTATCTAACTAGGCCATATTGGTTAGCATAAAAACAACATTCTTCATCTAGAAAGAGGCATAGGCCTCCCATTTCAGCCGTCAAGAGGTCCAATCCTCTTCTATTTTGAAGAGTGACTGCTGCTAAGGAGTCTATCTGATTTGAACAGGTAAAATACTCAAGGCATTTTCTTCTAGGCTGTCAGAAAAATCTTTGGACAGGCTTTGGTAATAGGACAGTGAGATAGTTAGTCCAGCCATGGCAGAGCTCAGTCCTGTGGTGATTGCTAAGCCTATTAAGAGAGGAATGAACTATGTAGCTCATTTACCTCCTCTGTGAGAGGACAGAGGAATGGTCAGGGATTGGCTGTTGGGGACTATTTAGAGGTCTGGGGCCAGGTGGGCTAGGGCAGGAGTCCCAGTCCAACTAGCTGGGAGGCACAAATAGGTATTTAATCCGCATAAGAAAAAGACTCATTTTTTTTGAGGCAGAAGTTGTTTTCAATGGAAAGTAAGTGGGCGAGTTGGCTGTTTTCATTTTCCCGGGCGGACAGGGTCCCTGCTGATACAGCTCTGGAAAGGGGTTGAAAGGGCCCGAGGCGTGTAGTGGACTGCTCCCGAAGTTTTGTTTTCCCATTGTATGAAATTCCTTTTGGTATTTATCAGAACTCACTGGGAAGAATTTTCTAAAGTGGGGCGTAGTAGGCATTCACATTGGGTGCAGTAGGAACACTATTGAGCTGGTGCTAGGTCATCAGGACACCACTTCCTTTTCAAATCTTTCCTCAGAGTTTCAGGTGGTTTCATATTCTTGTTCAACGAATACATGAGGAACTAAAGAGAAGCTGCTCATATCCCACAGAAGTTGAGTCAGGATTAACACATTTATTCTGACAGGGACATTGTGCAGGGCCAGAGAAGAGACAGGGAGGCAAGTAGGGTGCACAGGAATGCAAAGAAAGAAAATGAAGAGCATTAAAAGGCACAGGATTAATCTCTTCTGGGTGGCCCCAAATTCACAGCTCTGGTCACTTCTATCTGCACCCAAAATGACATTATGAAAGGTAAAGTACAAAAGGAAAGGACACATAAAACCATTGTTTTCATTTGGGGACAGTAAAAAGAATGAAAGTTTGAGGAGAAAATGAACATACTCTACCTGTGTCACTGTGAAATAGTCTATCCATAGTGATATAGGGCAGAGACAGGAGATAAGCATAGTGATTAGCCTTCCAAAAAAGCCAAGATATAAATAATATAGCAAGAGTAGGAAAGACTCCATCTTAAGGCTAAGATTCCATTTTAAAAACCAGGATTTTTCAAAATAAGATTCCTAACATGTTTGTTAGCAAACACACAATAACTGAACCCACTTTGGGGACACAATGAGCAGTCTTGATTGATATGTTTCCAGAGCGAAGCCAATATCCTGGGGAGGAACTGGATCAATAAATTTCTTATGTTAAGTTTGTCTTGCAGAATTAGCTGGAGGACTGATAATAGAGGAGAGGAGACATGCTGTCTCTCACCAGAGATAAGCATCCTTAGACCACTTGACAAGTCTACACCCCCTGGCCAGTTGTCACATTCCTGAAAAGTGCTTAAAAGACAGAAACCCCAGCCTTTCAGCGTGCCTTCTCTCTGAGGACAGCTGCACTTTTTCTCTTTAAGTGCTTACCTTTAGTAAAGCTTTCTCACGCTCAACTTAACTGTCTTTTTGCTGTTTCATTCTATTCCCAAATCTCCATTTTACCCCTGGTAAATAGGGAGGGGCTGCTGAAAGCTCTGATTTGGGCCTGCAAGTTCCTATTCTCTGGGTGATGCTATGCAGTGAGCTTCCTCTCCCTCCCTCTGCATTTTCCTGCTCTCGGTTGCATGCAAAGCTGCTGCCATTCATTTCTAATCTCACCTTAATGAATTCTTTCCTTACCTATACTCTCTTCTGACCTGCTCAAGAATTCTTTCTCATTCACAGTCAAGAACCCTCCCCCGTCCAGGTTGAAGTTTCACCTGGTGCACAGAGAGAGACCTCCCAGACTCAGCTACCTGGCAACAATAGCTATTAGAACTGGATATATAGGAGAATATAGAGATTACACTATCATGGTTAAGTGAAACTCATTTTGTTCCTAAGAGAAAAACAGTTAAGATAAAAAATTTGACTCGAAATATATAAAGCACTTCATCACCTCAAAATGTTCTCTGTTGTACCTCTGCAGTTCATGCCCCTGTCCCTGAAACTGGGCAGCTACTAACCTATATCAATGGAGATGAGTTTTGCTGGTTTTAGAATTTTATATAAATGGAATCACACAATACACAGTCTTGTGAGTCTGGTGTCTTTTGTTGAGTATAATGTTTTTGAGTTTCATCCCTATTATTGTATAGACCAGAAGTTTCTGTAGGGTAGTATTTCATTGTGTGGATCTTAAATATGTGCAGATTTTTGTAGATAAATTATACCTCAATAAAGCTGTTTTTGAAAAAGAAAATAAGTGTTTAATTTTATAAACATAACACTTTCCAAAGAGGTTGTAGCATTTCCATCATTTACACAGGACAGTTTCAGTTGCTCCACATTAACAGCAACATTTGATATGGTCAGTCTTTTAAATTTTAACCATTCTAGAAGGTTAGTGGTGCTATCTAAATGTAGCTTTGATTTATAATCTCTAGGGATCTGTTGAGCATTTTCTCATGTGCTTCTGGAAATTAATATACCTTTTTTTGTGAACTCT